ACAAAAGGCTCCAGAAATTCCTTTCTTCCAAGTCTGTTGACAAGGATGCTTGGATGTCAGAAGAGTGGACAGGGGCAAACTGGGAGATTCAAGCTTGCTTTCCTAATGATTTGTGTTTTAAGTGGAGCATTACATTGACGTTTCATGACTGTTTAATAATTTTGGGGTTTGAAAAGTGTCTTATTTCTTTATACTAAATTTTATTGTTGGAGTGAAGGATAAATTGTTGGGCTCTGATAAAGCTGTTGTGGACTTCAGCAAGAACCTGAGGAGCAAAACATTGGGATATAGTCGTAGACTGAGGCAGTCATTATTTGGTTTTACTGGCCCTGCTCTGTAATCTACTTTTGTTTTTAATAATCAGTTTTTAAAAGTTGCACTTTACTGGGGTCATGTTGAGTGCGAATTCAGAAAGTAAGTTCTTGCAATGCTGGAATGACAAAGACAATCCACAGGGATGACTTGGAAAGATGAAGGCTTGAAATTCCTGAGCGGCACCTGAAATTTTCATCCAGAGAAGTGCCTGCAGTGCATTTGCTGCACAGTGCATTTACAGCGTTGCTTTTCATCAGGTGTTCCTCTAGAAAAATCCTGTAATAAGGGGCGGAACAGAGTTCCTGTTGTTTCCATGTAGTTTTAAGTCGTCGTGGTTGGGAGGGTGCCTGGAGGGCAGGGGCCGGAGGAAAGGGCAGCAGTGGCAGACTGGCTCTCGGGTGAGATTCATGGGGGTGAAGTGTGTACCCCGCAAAGCAGTGTGTAGCACTGCTCGGCTGCCCTCGAGGTTCTGATTTATAATTAATGAGCTGTCATTTACATGGCAAGAAGATGGGCTCTCCTGAAATAAATCAGGCATTGCTCCCTGAAAGCTTAACACTTGATGAGAATGCAGTGTGTCCTTCAGGCCTCCTACCTCAAGAAATTATCTGATGTACCCACGGAGGCAGCGTCTCCTCCCCTCACCAAATGCAGGGCCTGGATTGAAATTGTTAATTTTAATTGGAGCTGAGATGATTGCAGTGCCACCCCATCAGGCTTCAGCAGCCCTCCTGCTCGCTGACGTCGCGGCAGGAGTCTGTTCAGCATGGGCGGCTCTTCTCCGCTATGGCACGTACAGCGGTATCAGGTTGATTAATGTGCCCAATAGAAATAAAACAAATGGAAATTTTTTTAGATTATACAGTACACTCATAAATATTAATGCACTTTTGCATTGAATTGCATGTAATTACATATTTATACATTTAAGTCACCTTCCTGATACACTTAAGGCACTTTACTGATGAAAGATATCTCTGAATAAGATGGTTTTAAACCATGCCTAATATGTTTGTAGGATTTATTTAATAATGTGTGGGCTTGTATGCTGGCAGGAGAGGAGAAAAACCTCCATTAAAGTCTGAATGTGTTGTTCGCAGGTCTGCTACTTAGTTGGAATCGACTCCGTGGGTAGCTGCTGAAAAATACGTCTCGACATGAAATATTACTACATCTCCTTATCTATGTAGATAAGGTCTGTGCAGTCCTGTCACCTTAGAGTAATTACAGCTTATTACTCTAATCATGATGATGCCTGAAGTCTGTAATTAAGATTGTGCTGGCTAATGTACTAGCACACGGCATGGTACAGCTATTGTCCTATCTAAACAACAGAAAGATAAAAATTGGATGAGGGAGAAAGGGCAGAGAGTGGGGAAGTGATTTATGCAGAGCCGCGGTTCCCAGCCAAGCGCCGCCTCCGCCGAACCCAACAGCGTCTGCGCAGACAGGATCCGTGCACGTCCTCCACGGCCTCCTGTGCCGTGCTGCTGTACCGACGGTGCGTCCGCCGCAATCCCGGGCAGTTTGCACCCTCAGACATGAGGATCGACGCCCCGAGTGATCTCTATTCAGCCAAGTTTTAATGCATCCTATCCACTTGCGTCTAAGCTTTTATTCTTTTCACATGTCCTGTTGCCGTCCAGTCTGCAGATGAAGAATTTAATACCTAGTTCTGTATACATATATATTTTAAGGCCAAATTGTATATCTGTTGAAAGCAATGAGAGGTTCTACCGTACAATGCGATAATACAGGGGTTTGACCCACAGCACTCTGTAATTTTCTCTGCAGTGATGTCAGCTGGTGAAAAACAGACGGCTGATTTGGAGGAACGTGGTTGTCTAAACACCAGTCTTTGTGTCTAAATGTCATAGTAAGCCCACCCACCAAACTGGATTTAAGGCCTGCTTTCACAATTTGCAGAATATGGAGCTCCCTTTCCTCTCTTTGGTTATGAGCAGAAGAGGCACCTTATTTTTGGAGATTTCTGCAAATTGTTCCTTCTGTCTTGGAAGACACATTTTCATAGAGTTTGCAGAAGGCTTTGTGAAACTGCAGCTAACCTTTCCTCTAGGTGTATACGCGGATTCTATCATCCCGGTTCTGACATGAGCTAAACTTTGCTTTAGGTGTATCGTGACAATTCGCGAAACTTTATGATGTTGGCTAGAACGTGGGCTTCTTCTTCTGGAGGAGATCCCAGATATGCCCATAGTGATCTGCAAAATCGGACCCATCTTAGACCCTCCTTAAAGCTATTGGGAGCTAGTAATTTCTTGATGGCGGCGCTAGACCCATTAGACATTTTATAAGTTTCTGGAAGCCTGCCACTGCTTCATTTACATCCCTAGCTGAGGGGGAAAAAAAAATAAAATAAAAAAAAAATAATCCCACAAAAGCTATTTAGTCATTAGGAGAATATTTCTTTTCTAGAAAGTTTCCCTTTCTTCACTCCTTCAACCTTTCAAATTTAGAGTGAATCTCTCTTAATAGCATTTCTATCTATGAATGCAAGCTCTGTGTTTTAACAGGAGTCCTGTGCAGTGCTATTCATAAGGCACTGGGGTTTTTGATACGGATCTGAAAAAAATAAAGATTTATGTTTATCGTTAGCAGCACGATGATACTTATCTTAAGGCATAAATCAGTTCTATGATAAAATATCTCAGTGTTTCAATGGAGTGCATTGAACAAGTTGTAACTCTGGTGCTCTTCTGCTGCGTTGAAGTTGCTCTGCGGGAATGGCAGCGTTTTTCCAGTTTAGTTCACAAAGTGTAGCTGAATAAATGCAGGAATTGCTGTGCCAGTTGCTCTGCAGTTGTTATCCAGGAGGTCAACATGTGTTTGTAGTTGCTATTTTATGAAGCTATTGACGGTGAGAATTGGTGAAATAGTAACCATAATAAGACACCTGAGCATTTGCCATCGTGCGGTTGTGGCATATATCTAAATCTAAAACCTTCCTGGGAAAGGAGACAGAAGGTGTGCTCAGGAAAGTGATTCTTCTTGCTTTATTTTACCTTGGGCTTGCTCCATCAGATCTCTCAGCTTGTGTACAGCGCTTTTCACAAGGAGAGCTCAAAGCATGTAATGATGATCGGTGCTACCACTGCCTCTTTTTTTTAATAGCTGGAGAAACCAGAGAAGAGACACATGATGTTCTTAAAATACCGATCCTGCTTTAAAACTAAGGGTGCTAAAGATTTTTTTCATAAGCTTGGATAAAGCTCCTAACTTTTCTGATACGAGTAACACTGTGGGGAGAAAAGCTTAGGATATTTCCCACGGTGTCTTAGGTGAAGAAAAGTTAGAAAAAGTGTCTTACAGCGTCCGTTCCACGCTCCCTTCTTTAACACTTGTAAAATTATTCTTTTTACCAAATATCAAATTTGAACGTTGACTGTCTTCTGTTTAATTAATGTTCTCATTGGTTTTAGTTATGAATTTTGTGAAGCTCTTGTGTTTTAGATAGGCATTTAGGCAGCATTCTTTAATTAAAGCCAAACTGATTTTTGCCTTTAGGCATGGGGGTTTTTTGCATTAAAAGATGGCATAATTTGAACCTCAATCTTTTTGTGACACAGGGATCAACAGCCCAATTTCTTTCCTGCAGTCGGTTATAATTTTAAGTGACAATAAACAGAGGCATGAAGATATACAAGATCATATAGTACTTGATGGTAGGGCATGGAGAGCTTTTGGTCAAAAGAGCCAGGCATGTTAGTAAAGTAGGCTTGAACTATTACATTATTTAAGTAATATCCTTCTTATATGGAAATACTGTACTCCTACATATGGAGTTCTTGGAGTGGATGTGACTTAGCAAGTTGTATTTATTAGATGCCCAATATGCATTGCAATTTTCACCTTTCCAATAGCTTCTAATTCTTCTCTCCCAATGACCTTCCAGCCTCCTCTTCCTCTGCCTTCAATTTTGTGTTATTGGAGACTTTTTTTTCAAGTAATGTTTATTTGAAACAAAAATATGAATTCTGTGTGTCGCAGGTTTTCAGTAAGAAAATACAGTAGCTGTAGGCTAAGTGACAAAACTGGTGTTTGTTACAAGACTTGAATGTTTTTTATAGACATACATGGATTCTGAGGTTTAAAGAAGGGTCAGTAACAAAGTTTTCAAACACAAGCTGCTGCTTCCCCCCCCCCAACTGAGATTTGGAAATCTTCTGCATAGATCAGGCTTGAGGGAAACATCCACTGAAGCCAACTGAGATTCGTTGGCTTTAATTGGATTTAGGTCAGCTCTTGCCTTGTCCTGTCGCACACAAGAAATAATACAAATGAATGTGAAAAGCCAAGCCTCGTTTAAATCAAAGACGATTGTTAATTTAAACATTATAAACATATGCTGTCTTCTAAATGCATGCTTACTTGATCTACAAGATGTGTTTCAGAATTATGAGGTTGATGGTACGAAAGCTGTAGGAGTATGTGTCTGCTTCTCTGCGCTCGTTTCATCTTAAAGATTTTATTTTGCATTTGCCTATCTTTTGGTTACGTGGACGCCAGTGAAGACTGCTTTCTCCTCTTCTGGTGACTGCAGCATTGCCTCGAGAATGCTTTGCTGGTCACCTAGAATTGCTGCTTAAAGAGGGCGACCAAATGAGAGCCGTGTCTTAACCTCTGTGTTTTTCTTCTCTTCCTTCCCCCACTCCCTCCCTCTGCAGAAGGACATAGCTCTGAAACCTCAGGAACGCGTGGAGAAGCGACAGAATCCTCTAGCCAAGAAGAAACGGGAAGCACTTACCAATGGGCTGTCGTATCTTCCGAAAAAGAACAGACTTCACCACCACCAGTACAGCTCCGACCGAGAAAATGATCGTAATCTTTGTCAGCACCTGGGGAAAAGGAAGAAGATACCCAAGGGCCTGAGACAGGTGGGAGCCGAGTTGCCCGTGGCGGGGAGGGAGGGCTTTGGCTGTTGGTACATGGTATGGATTTCTCATTTTGGGGGATCACTTGTTTTAATCCCTTCATAGTTGTTTTATTCTTGGGCTCTCGGATGCTGCTTGGTACCGTGTCCTGGTGCTAGCAGAGATTAATTGAGTGGGAAAGCAAGCAGCGTATTGATGCTAGAGCTGAGTTGATTAATAAATGCGCAGAGGTTGGAAGAGCATTTCATAGGCTGGCTGTGAGACTGTCAGGGCAAACAAATGTGGTCTGTCTATTACACTGTTAGGCCAACTTTGTGCTATAAATATGCCTTCATGTCTTTAGACTTTGAACGCAGAAGCATAAGACCCCCTTGAACATCAAGGGCAAGGTGAGGTAATTGCGAGAGGGGCAGCTGTTAATCAAGACAAAGCTCTAAGACTGATTACATGTGAGGAGCTCATTTGTAGGATGTCAGTGGTACTGGTGTGTGCTCTTTTGGGTGACTAATCACCTACCCGTGAGCAAGAACTTCTTGCCTTCCCAACACCGGTGTTCCCTTACTGCCGTAGCTGTGGCGCACGTGTGACAGAAGTGAGCAGAGAGCATCCAGGGTGGCAAAGCTTCAGGCTGGAAACCTGGGACTCCTGTTTAGGGCTGTGCAGTGTTGTATTTCTTGTTTTTTAAAAAAGAACGCGGGACAAGTGTGATTTCTCTGGTGAGCAGGATGCAGAAAAATGAGCCATGTTTTGCTTTTTTTGAATAAATATCCCTTGTGTGTTTGTCATATGTTAAACACTGAATTACAGCTGGGCGGTTTAAGTACAGCACACGCCTGTATGGCCGTTTGGCTCATTGTCTGTAAAACTGAAACCTAATGTAACAGTAAAGAGGTCAGTTTTGACCTAAATTTGAGTGATATTAATGACTCTTTAACCAAAATTGATATGTCTAATGGAGATGGTGATATTCATTGAAGGAGTCTTCATCCTTGTTTGGTGCAAATCAAACATTGCTTTGCAGAGAAACTTTTAGCAAATAGTGAGAATTCCCTGCTTCTCATTTTGTGAGCTCAGGGAAATGGAAGGAACATTGAGGATGACAAGTATATTCACGTGTATTCAGTTTTGATGTTCAGAGTTGCAGAAGCAGGTAAAAAAATATGTTTTCATGATTATTTTTAAGCCTACACTACGTATAGAAATAAAATAAGAGATTATACAGTGCTTCAGAAAAGCAAAGAAATTGTAAAATGCCGATTCCACACTACCACACCCATTAAAGGCATTTCTTCTAATTTAATTTTACTTTGTATTTCAAAGGGAATGGGGAAACTCTTCAGGATAGCTGATGCAATGGTTATGTTACAAGCAGATTTTGAAGGTTGCTGTGTTTCCTTGCCTGTTTTCTGTGTTCACCTACGTGGTCTTCGCTCTGTTCCTTTTTAGGATGTCAAATGGTAAATGTATCTGCTCTGTGCAGTACGAACTGGCCTTCGTAAAAGCTGACTTCTTGCACTATTTGATTCCCCTGGCATAGCTTACTGTCAGGTGAAACCTTTCTGCCCGGTACTTAAGCTATGAAGGAGTCAGCCTCGCTGCTGATGGAGGTTATTTGTGAGGTTATGTTTTTAGGAATAAATATACACTGGCTTGGAAGGTATTGAGTTGACAAATGTCGTAGAAAATGGTTTTCCTTTTAGCTGATAAATCTGAGCACTCTGCTTAATTCCTGAGGGATAAGGCTGAGAGGAAAGTATCTTGCTCAATATAAATTTAATACATTTGGTAGGGGTATAGCTCCTTAGATAAGAACATTTTAGTCTCATGAACGGTTTAGGTGCTGACAAATCCAAGTGGCTTTGGCACTTAGACGTGGAAAAAAGATGTCATGGAAAAGACTCTAAAGCTTATTTGAAAAGACGTGCCCGCAACCTTTATATATAGTATTTCTGGTAAGCGTTTTCTGTTTCCTTTCAAGACAAATGGTGAAGACCTCCAAAAGAGGAGGGAGCTGGTAAGTTCTGAGGATGGTTTTCTCTGATTGTGTAACACTGTTCCTCCTAGAGTGACTCTTGGCTGCACGCTTTGGGTTTGTTTCCCCACTCAGCTCCATCCCACTGAATTCCCGGGCTCTCAATGGGAAGTACAGTTGCTTATCAGCCTTCTCAGGTGACAAACCAAGAACTGGGGCCACTGTGTTTTGTGCTTGGCAAATTAAGGAGTCCAAAGCCAATTAAAGTTCAGTATGCCTCTGGATATGGTGTCTTTGCTATATTAGGGCTATATATTTTATAGGTAAACAACGTATCTTGTCCCTGTGGTCCCTGGAGGAATCCTGAATTGTCACATGGGAATATTATAATTGGACGGCAGGATGCAGTCTCAGTGCTGGCCTGAGACCTGGGCTGCAGTCCGTCCCTGTTGGGAAATGTTTTATACCCGCAGATCTTGTTCGTTGTTTTACCAGTAGTTAACAGGCCTGTCTGATACGCCTTTCTGTGAAATCTGTTATCTGCTGCAAGTAACTCTCACATGCAGGATTTACGGTATGAAGCTCCCTTGTCAAACAGATTTAGTTGAAGTCAGCTATTGGAAGGACTGCTAATTAGTTTTCAGAGAAAATCCTTGCAGTATTCATGCAGGTATTTATCCAGCTATGCTTAAATGCCTACAGGTTTATTGAAATCCAGAAAATGTGAAACTGTAGGTTAATTAAGGCTCGTATTTTACTAGCGAGAAGACTTTTGAACTCTGCTTTGTGAGCTTTTATAAATGTACTTATTAAATGCCTCAAGGAAATTTTAGTTGGCGTTAAGCAAACATAAGACTCATCAGAATATTTCTCCAGCGTTTTAAATTTAATTTCCTTTACGTTAATTGGTGATGGTGTGTTTTTATGTGTTTTCTGTAAAAATCATTTGGAAATCTTAAAGTGAACATTTTTAAACTAGTGAAAGGTTGGCAGAAATTTTTAAATAGTTCTTAATGAGTTTTTATTCCTCAAGGTTTGAGCAGAGTGGGGCACACTAGGAAACAATGAGTTTTCATTGTAGAAGGAGCATTGAGAGAACTTTGATAGTGAGAGGGAAGGACTGTTTCTCTTTATTCAGTGGGGGTGTGTTTTGGAAAGAGCAGAAGACGTTGACTTTTGCTACCTCTACTATTTCCTTCATTGTTTTCTTTATCTGTTGGGAGATTCAGATGCCTTCTTGCAGAAAAGGATCGTCTTCAGGAGATGCTTCTAAAACAGCAATCTGTGTGCTGGGCAAGTGGTATCTTAGCTGGCTTATGTATACATGAGAGCCAACTGCTCCCGGGCTCCACCTTCACCGGCTGATTTCACAGGCGCTTGCAGAATATCAAATCCCAATCCCAGGTAGCGTGTGAGTGCCAGGAAGGAGACAAATTGGTAATAAATAAGGGGCAGATGAGGAATAAGGGGAAGAAACTCATGATGGAGAGATGAATTAGGAGGTAAATTTTAGTGAGATAAAGGAAAAATGGGAAGAACAGCAAAAAAAGATACGCCGCTGACTCTGGCAGTCATCAGCTACAAGCATCATAAACTATTAGCTTTAACCTTGTAGTCCATTACATGAATCAATTAAAGGGGAGGGAGGGAAGCATTGAAGTTTTTCCTTCTCAGAATTAAGTCCGCGGTCCCCTTGGCAGTCTCGCCCTGAATCTATACAGCTTAAATTTGAGACTGCTGAGGCTTTTGATGGCTGATCTGGATGGCCACTCTTGTCCCTCATCATCGTGGCTTGCGAACATCATGTCGTTAATTGTGTTGCAGATTTAGTTGTAGCACACTTGTCCTCTGGTGCAGAGGTGCTTCAGTGCAGCAAACTTGTGGTGCGGAGGGTGAAATAACCGTTGCGTGAGCTGCATTTAATCACTCTTACTGTTGGCAACGGCTTTTGCACACTCTTAGACAAGCCTGCACATGACAGGTAATGAGAGCGGAGCGGGAGGTGGGTGTTAGCTGTATGGTTTGTGGTGACATTGGTTGGGGAGCTGAGCAGATGGGTTTGATTGTCACCGGCAGTGTGATTCCAGTGAGAGCTGACTGTGGTGACAAGCGATTTACAATGTGCTATTTACAGTTTGGGTTTGCAGTCTCTCAATGACATCTGAGTGCTCTTTAGCAACTGCTTTCATTACTGCTTTTCTAAGAGCTGTTAATTGAAAATGAAATTGTGGGTGGGCTTTGGGAGTGCACTAGCAGCTACAAGTATTCTGTGCAACCACGGAGAACTGCTTAATTTCTTTGACTCCCAACTTGTAGATCTGTGCAGCACCAAGGGAAAAAAGCCATATATATATTTGTGCAGTGTGAGGTCAGACACCTCGGAAATACTGCATACAACCCGCACGCACCCGGAATGAGTGATAAAGGCTTGAATCTCCTTTTACGTAGCTGCTGTGATTTGGGATTACCTTCCTGGCAGCCAGTGGATTTCAGTGACTCTGAAACTACTGAAGATGAGGAAGGAGCCCGGGCTGTGAAAATAGCTGGGGCAGGGCAGCAGAGGGGTTTGCAAGCCCTGCCGGCTGCCGTGGGGCTGGTTGTGCGCTGGTGGAGGTCTGGCTCTGTACGACTGATGTTAGAGGCAACCTTTCTGCCCACTCGTCGAGCTCCGGACAGCGTTGCACGCCTTTAGGAGTCGTACCAGCGAGGCATCGGGTCAGCAGCGGTACTGCCATGCATAACGGAGATAACGTTTCTTTCCACACTGTTTGTAAAGAGAGAGGGGATTTAAATTTTTATTTTAATGTAATTTCGAAGTGGTTGTGCTGGTGTTTGAAAATAATAGGTTTGCGGTTTGTTGCAGCCTACACAGCACGGTTTGATTATGTGCAAGTGTTGCCAAAAGGTCTAAGTCACCCCAAGCAAGTGTTGGAACAGGACTTTGCAGGGGGCACTGGGTTAACGAAACTGCCGGCTCCGTGTTGGTGTTGTGTCATCCAAGGGCATTGTTTATTTGGATTTCTTTGTCAAT